TTTTAATATGTTTTATTTAATAAATAAATTTTATCTTTAAAAATAAAAAAAATTAAGAATCCTTAATTAAGAAACTCCCATTGGACCGCTGAAAATAGGAGTTTCTTAAGTAGAGTTCTTAAGTCCACTTAAATACATTTAAAATATTAAATAATTATTAAGAAATCCACTTAAGGATCAAGGGATAAACATGCTCTTAGACGACAGATTTTTAGAACATAGACTAATGCTATACCATTAGTTTCCTTACATTTTGCTGAATCCCACGTGATTTGTACAAGCCTTTGTATTTACACTATAAATGTTACCTAGCTAACCTAGAAATGAAGTAGTAATCAACACGAAGCATGCACGCATGGGACTATTTATATGTTTTTACTACGGCGTCTAAAAAACTTAATGGTAACATGGAAATATTGGATTGTATGTATTTGTATATAAGATAAACATTGATTAATGATTATCATCGAATGTTTAGAGAGAAAAAAAAACGCTTATATATACTTGTTTGGTTGGATACTGAAGAAGAAACGTAAAAAGTAGCATTTGGTCCACGTGATTCTTTGGTCATGTCTGACTTCTTCGAATGACGACCGACTAATTCACAAATAAATCAGGGTTCGATGACACCCTAATACACTTTCCTTTATGGTTACGTGGATATGAATCTATCTTACAATCTAATTGAATATCCAAAACGAGAGTCGAACCACACTACCGCTCTAAAAATTAGTCTAGATCTCTTTATAAATCTAAAATACTTTGAATTTTTTTTTTTTGAACACCATAGATGCCCCCAAAAATTTATTTAAAAAAAAACACAAACAAACTACTCTCTTCTCTCGCTCCGTGCTTTCATGTGATTTGTATTGATTGACTCGCGTACGTTGTATGGCCGTTTACTCCAAAGTCATATAAACATGTATAAAATGTATGTCTTGGTGGTGTATTCTTCCGACAATTCTTTTGTTAGATAGCTTCTTTCCTTAATATAAGTATTAATAGGGATATCTGGTCGCCAACTTTTCAAATTTAAAGTTAGGAGCCAATATTGACTGCTCCTGATATCACCTCCTTGAGTCTTGACGGGAGTTTCCCACAAATATACTCAATCATATGACCAAGCCTGTGAGCAGTAGTGGCCCCAAAAGAAAACTATAGAAACATGTGTTTCCAGCCAAAGTTAAAAATAATTAAACTTTCGAACGTTATTTTTTTAAATTCTGCTCAGTTGAATAATAACACTCAATTCTCATAAGAGGTGGAGGGTTCACGGTAGTCAATGTCTTATTTAACACTTTTGTTACCATTATACTCTTTTGGATTTCCGACCCAACATTTATCAGAATCGGGTCTGCCTATAAGTTTGAGTTGTTCAAACAAAACCATTTAGTTCAGTAAAATTGAACTCAGACAAACTTAAATCTGAATGATGTTTTTTTGAACACCATTAATTCTGAATGTTACCATCTTTTCTTCTAGGTAATGGCTCAACTTAAAAAAATTCCAACTTATTACTATTTTTACCCTATAATAATATTTATAGTCAAAATCCCTTCAACTCATCTCTATTTCTTCTTCTATAATAGATATTGTTATTTTCCATCTATATTTAGGGGAAAGTAACAATACCTATTTTTACTATATATTTAGAAAAATATTATTTTAGAAAAAATACTTGATGTAAACTCTATTTCTATCATAAAATTCTATATATTTTTTTTAAAAAATAGTATAATTCATTGGAGATGGTCGACACACCACTCTTTTTTTATTTGTAAAAGAACACCACACCAATTCGCTTGGATTTAGAAGTAACACTTTTTTTTGTTCTTAGCTTGTGTTTTAAATCTTTTTATCTAGACAAAACAAAAAGACTTATTTTTGGTAACGCTTTTTAACTATATATCATGTTCTAAGGCTTTTGAAATACATATATAATAATGAGCAGTGCAAACCAGTGTTTTAAAACCTGGTTCGAACACCGAACTAAACAACTTCCCGAATCACAAAATCATTGAATAGATCACAGATGAACTAGAGGTTAATTAATTAATTAATTAATTTTATTATATAATAATATATTACCTATGAAAATAGTAATATATTACCTATGAAAGTAATAATATAGAAACTAAAGTTAAGTATTTCCTAAATGTTTTAAAACATAAAATAATAGTTTGGATATGTATATATTTATGTTTTTAAAAAACATTTAGAAAATACTTATCTTTAGTTTAGACAATTATATTCTTTTAACAAGTACTTAAGAATTTAGGAGTTATGACATCTAACAAAAAAAATATCAAGATTTAAAATTCATAAATCTTTGAATTTTCTAATGTGAATAATAAAATTAAATTCCAAATCTAAAATAAACTAAAAGTAAAACATCATTGTAATAAATTGCTGGTAACAAAATAAACTAACACGGTAACACCAAATCATACAACTAATTAAGATCTTTTCCAGCATCCTTAACTTCATTTTCTTCAGGTGGTAATAAATTGTATGGAGATTAACTGTAGATTGGATAGTTTGTCATGAACAATCAGAGATCTGATTGGTAATCATCCAGATTCGTAGAGTCGCGCAAACATACAAAATATGGGTAGTGAAATGATTGGGTGGAATACGAAAATTCAAATTTCGGATAAATTTGTAATGGGTAATGCATGTAGATTCACTTATCATTAAGATTTTATGGCCCCCACCGATGTATTAATTTTCTCTATAAACCTTTGCCTAAATAAATTTACTGAGGGAAGTTTATATATGTAGTGCACGAGGACATATACATGATACTAATTAAAAAAAATAGTATATTAATGATCGTATAATTTGTACGACCCCCAAATTGGTCCACTACAGCTTGGAAAAATTTGTCTGGTAGGAGAACTTGAGTTCCACGAGATTACTCGGATAAAGCGTCGTAGACTATCTGTCAACAAAAATGAGAACTATTACTCGTTTCTTGTTGAATATTGATAAGTTATTTTTCCTTATAAATATCCTGTCTTATTAGGCTTAGCATTGTCTGAGTGTCTATATTGATTAATCTCAAAGTTAATTATAACTTTCTTTCATTAATTAATTTGAATCCAGTATCATTTCTGAGAGCAGCTGTGTTAATATATGTTGTTAGGGTTACATATTATGTGAAAGTTTGTATGGCATGAACATATCCTATTTCTGTATTTGTCCTTGTATGTTATTATGAAGGGAATTATCACTCGTTTCTTGTTGTCTTGCAGTTTTTTAATATCTTTTGCAGTTTACAGAATCTTAACGATCTAATCTGCTACTTGTCATCAACTCTGGTAAATCCCACTCCCATTTGTACGAGGACCTAAAAATTTAGTCATACAATGTTGCCTTTATATTTTGTTCCTTTTTTTGCTAAATTAAGTCAGGCGTTGCCGGGATTATCCTATGACCAAGTCGCTGGCCTGTCGACAAAAAAGCAAGTTATTGGCCAAAACGTTTATGTCATAATAATATTTAGTTTTATATTTAAATTTCAGCTGACATGATCATAATTGGATGTGCGATGATGCAACACAATTACTTATTTAGAAGGCTATTAGTTGTATGAGACGAGGTAGATTTGCAAGTGCAATTGGTGTTTACTATAAGAGGGTTCCATCCGAAAGTTTCCATCGATATAGATTATGAAGTGGCATAAACCATATGCACTAAACCTGTCAATCACGAGCAAGAGGGTTTAGTTATTCAAGTGATAATGAAAGGATGACTGCTTAGCCAACATTAATGTTTACAACTTTCTTTGAAAATATATTTAGATTAAATAACGATCTATAAAAGATACACTAATAATCATTTTTAAAAGCTGGTTAGGTTCTGAAACGTTGAATACTGAATAAGTACGTTTTAAAGTCATAAATGTCCCACCATATTTGTAGTCTTTTTAAGGGAAAAACGTAGACACGTAAAATTCGTTTATTTGTCCTTCACCCCTCCTCCTCACAAATTTAGCATATAGTATTTATTACAAAAGAGATATTAAATGAAACATTTCCGGTGAATTACTTTTGGTTGTGCTTCACTGTCTTATTTAGGTCCATTTACTTTAAATTTAAGACTAAGACCTAACAAGACATGAGTCATGACCGCCATACTTAATAGAGTTTGCCCCACCAACAAACTTATGAATATGCATCACATCTCTCATTATATGCTAATTAATAACGGTTTGGCTCATCCCATGTGAACCATAGTCAAGATTAATTCATGTTATCTGATTAAATGATACCGTTTATAGGTGTCCAGTCAGGTTTAGTTCAAAGCACCACGTCCCAGATTATATTTAACAAATAAACCAAAAGCGAAACAAAATAATTAGTATTTTTCCAAAAAAAAACAAAATAATTAGTCGAGCAAAGCTATAGAGTATAAGATAGAACAATGGTAGATGGCCGAACATAATATCAAGGCCCATTG